ATCTGTATTAAATAAAAGTGGTGAGAGTGGACACCCTTGTCTTGTTCTTAGAGGAAATGCTTTCAGTTTTTTACCAGTGAGAATGATATTTGATGTAGCTTTGTCATATATGGGGTTTATTACATAGAGGTAGTTTCCTTCTATGCCCACTTTCTGGAGAGTTTTTACCATAAGTGGTTGAATTTTGTCAAAAGCTTTTTCTGCATCTATTGAAATGATTACATGGTTTTTATTCTTCAGTTTGTTAATATGGTGGATCACATTGGTTACTTTGCATATATTGAAGAATCCTTGCATCCCTGCAATAAATCCTACTTGATCCTGGCGGCTGATCTTTTAATGTGCTGTTGAACTCTATTTGCTAGTATTTTGTGGAGGATTTGTGTGTGTATGTTCATCAGTGATACTGACCTGCAATTTTCTTTTTTTGTGATTTTTTTCTTTTTCTTTTTCTTTTTCTTTTCTTTTCTTTGTTTGGTTTTGGTATTCAGGTGATGGTGGCCTCATAGAATGAGCTTGGGAGTTTTCTTCCCTCTGCAATGTTTTGGAAGAGTTTGAGAAAGATGTGTGTTAGCTCTTCTCTAAGTGTTTGATAGAATTCCCCTGTGAAGCCATCTGGCCCTGGCCTTTGGAACATTTTTAATCATAGCTTCAATCAGTACTTGTGTTTGGTCTGTTCATATTTTCTGTATCTTCCTGGTTCAGTCTTGGAAGGTTTTATCTTTCTGAGAATTTATCCATTTTGGGGGCATATAGTTGTTTGTAGTAGTCTCTTATGATCCTTGGTATTCCTGCAGTGTCAGTTGTAACCTCTTTTTTTCATTTCTAATTTTATAAATATAAGTCCTCTCACTTTTTTCTTGATGAGTCCGGCTAAAGGTTTACTGATTTTGTTTATCTTCTCAGAGAAAAACCTTTTTGTTTCTTTGATCTTTTCTATTATTTTGCCTTTATTTTATTTTTTTCTGCTCTGATCATTATGATTTCTTTCCTTATCCTTTGGGTTTTGTTTGTTCTTTCTCTAGTTGCTTTAAGTGTAAGTTTAGGTGGTTTACTTGAGATTATACTTATTTCTTGAGGTGAGAATGTATTTCTATAAGCTTCCGTCTTAGAACTGCTTTTGCTGCATCGCAGACTCTGACCTGGCCCAACTTCTGCATGTACTACTTCCCCTCAAAGTCCACTGCTGCTAAAGCTAGACTTGTGTCAGTTGTGGGACACTCGTTGTCTATTCAGATATTCCACAGATGCAGGGTTTACCGAACCTATTGCAGGGCTTTAGTCTGAGGCTTGTGCAGCTGCCTGGAGAAGATTTCCTTCCTCTTCCTTAGTTGCACAGCCCCTGAGGCTCAGCTTTGGTTTTGGCTCCAGCTCTGCATGTAAGCCCCCTTCAGGCATCTGTTCCACACCCATGCAAAAGGGGGCGAAAGCAAAGAGGCGGGCTGAGGCAGACTTACTCAGGCCCACAGGGCAGTGCAGCCACGGCAGTGGGTGTGTGAACTGCCTGTGGTCGTGGAGATTGGCAGGCAGTTGAGCAACAGAATGTGGCATGCTTACTCTGGTGGGAGTCCCTCCAGGTGTCTGTGGAGGCAGGGGCTGGCATGTGGGGACAGTGACACCCCCGCCTCCTCCCCTCTACTTCATCTGCCACTCAACAGTGGTGTCTCATTTCCTAGGCAAACCATACTTCCTTTAGGGACTTTCCACTAGGGACCTCACAATTCTGTTCTCTTTCTTATATCTGCAGGGTCAACAGCAGTCCTCTCTCCACATCTGTTCTCTTGTTCAGTCGTGTCTGACTCTTTGTGACCCCATGGACTGCAATATACCAAGCTTCCCTGTTCTTCACAGTCTCCCAGAGTTTGCTCAAACTTGTGTCCTTTGAGTTGATGGTGGCATCCAACCATCTTGTCTTCTGTTGTCCCCTTCTCCTGCCTTCTATCTTGCCCAGCATCAGGGTGTTTTCCAGTGAGTTGGCTCTTTGCATCAGGTGTCCAAACTACTGGAGCTTCAGCTTTAACATCAGTCCTTTCAATGAATATTCAGGACTGATCCTTTAGGATTGACTGGTTTGATCTCCGTGCAGTCCAAGGGAACTCTAATGAGTGTCCTTCAACACCACAGCTCAAAAACATCAATTCTTCGGTGCTGCAGTCCATGGGTCACAAACAGTTGGACATGACTGAGTGATTGAATAACAACAGCCTTCTTTATGATCCAACTCTCACATCCATACATGACTACTGAAAAAACCATGGCTTTGACTAGATGGACCCTTGTCGGCAAAGTAATATCTCTGCTTTTTAATAGGCTGTCTAGGTTGGTCATAGCTTTTCTTCCAAGGAGCAAGCATTTTTTAATTTCATGGCTTTAGTTACCGTCTGCAGTGATTTTGGAGCCCAAGAAAATAAACTCTTTCACTGTTTCCATTGTTTCCCCATCTGTTTGCCATGAAGTGATGGGATTGGATGCCATGATCTTAGTTTTTTGAATGTTGAGTTTTGAGCCAGCTTTTTCACCTTCATCAAGAGGCTCTTTAGTGCCTCTTCACTTTCTGCCTTAAGGGTGGTGTCATCTGCATATCTGAGGTTATTGATATTTCTCCAGGCAGTCTTGATTCCAGCTTGTGCTTCATCCAGCCTGGCATTTATTTTGATGTACTAACTCTGCATATAAGTTAAATAAGCAGGTTGACATATATTGTATTGTACTTGACGTATATTGTCAAGTACAGCCTTGAAATACTCCTTTCCCAATTTTGAAGCAATCTGTTGCTCCATGTCCTGTTCTAACTATTGCTTCTTGACTTGCATACAGTTTTCTCAGGAGACAGGTAAGGTGGTCTGGTATTCCCATCTCTTTGAGACTTTTCTACAATTTGTTGTAATCTACATAGTCAAAGGCTTTAAGTAGTCAATGAAGCAGTAGTAGATGTTTTTCTGGAATTCTCTTGCTTTTGCCATGATTCAACAGAGGTTGGTAATTTGATCTCTGGTTCCTCTCCCTTTTCAAAATCCACCTTGAACATCTGGAAGTTCTCTGTTCACAGACTGTTGAAACCTAGAATTTTGAGCATTACTTTGCTAGCATGTGAAATGAGTGCAATTGTGTGGTAGGTTGAACATTCTTTGACATTGCCTTTCTTTGGGATTGAAATGAGAACTGACCTTTTCTAGTCCTGTGGCCACTGCTGAGTTTACCAAATTTGCTGGTCTGTTGAGTGCAGAACTTTAACAGCATCATCTTTTAGGGTTTGAAGTAGCTCAGCTGGAATTCCTTCACCTTTGTGCTCTTAGCCCCACACCTTTGTACTCAGTCTCCTCTGCTCCCACCAGCATTGGCAGACTCCTGTCTTGGGCAGTGGCACCCAGGGCTGATTTTGAAGGAGGCTTTGGGATGGATGACGCTCAGGGTGCTGGAGCCTGTCCTGGCAGAGGAGACCTTGGCTTGAGGTGTGTGTGGAGGGTGAGCCTGCTCAGATGAGTGCACCTCCCAGGGCTTGTAGGGGCTGAAGCAGGTGGGTGGAAGTGGGGATTGCAGTGCCAGCCCCGCCTGTTGCTCACCACTCAGCAGTGGTGCCTTGCTTCTGTGGTGTCCTGGCCTTCTTCTGCCGACTTTCCCAATTATCGGACTCCGTACTCCTGTCCCTTCAGGCTCCTTTCACAACCAGCAGCTGTCCCCTTCCTGGGTCCATGCTCCAAACCCCACTTTCCAGCACCCAGCCTCCTCTCGACAGGAGACACATTACTCAGGCTGGGCAAGGCTGCAGTAGAGACCGTGTGCACAGTTCTTACTTGGTCCTGCCTTCCGCAGATGGTCCACCGTGTTCTCCTTTGATCCTCTGAAGGTCCCTTTCTGTCCCCTCTGATTTCCCCACATGAGGGGATTTTCTGATTGCAGGAACCTCTCCTCACCTTCAGCTTCCCCCCAGGGTTGCTGGTTCCTTTTTTGATTCTTTTTTTTTTTTTCTTTCTTTTTTCCTACCCCACTGGGAGGGAATTTTTCTTGTCGTTTTAGGTGTTAGAAGTCTTCTTCTAATGTTCAGTAGGTGCTCTGTGTGAGAATTGTTCCGTTTATAGATATATTCTTGATGTACTGGTAAGGAGACATGAATTCCGTGTCCTCTTCTGCCATCTTGACTCCTCTTTGATAGTTTTTGAAGGCAGCAAAAGCATGACAAAGGTGATACAGTCTTTCACTTTAAAGTAGGATGATCCAGTTCAGTCTGAATTCTGACGATATGTTAAATTTCTGATTTGTAGACACAGGCATGTTTTATATTGAATACAGTATTGTATTCCCTTTTAGACATCTCTCTTATGCAAAAGAAGACAGGAGAAAAATAAGCCTCTACCCAGCAAAAAGGAAAATAGTAGCTTATATTGAGTTCTTATTGTATGATAGGCACCATTCTAAGTACTTTTTACTTGTAGTGGTTTATTTAACATTTCTAACTGTGAGACACAGTTACTCTTGATGGTCTCATTTTATAGATGAGGAAGCTAACACAGAGATGTTAAATAATTTACCAAAAGTCTTGTAAGTAATAGTTGGCACAGCAGGGATCCAAATCCCAGCTGTTCAACACCACTGTCTATTAATACTATGCTGAATTGTCAGTTAAAGTAGAAAGTTATATAATTATTTTAATTTTAGTTTCAATCGATGTAAATGTGACATTCTCCCTCTGGGTAGAAATTTGGTTTCTGTTTCTTAAGATCTCCACTGAAGTGATGAAGTGTGTGTAGCCTGTTCCTGATGCTTCTCTTTTTGCATTCGACCTTTGGAATATCTGTAATAGTTCTAACTGCTTGAAGGAAAAAAGAAGGATGTGAAAAACAGTGCTATGTGGATTCAGTTGCTTGGTTAATTGCTTTATATTCCACTGGAGGCTTGCTGGAATTGTCTCTATTTAGAAATCTAAAATTTCCCATAATGAACTAAATTAATTCTGTCCTGGATGTTCTTTTTTTTTTTTTCTGAATATTCTTTTTGCCTAGCATGTTTCGCCAAGGGATGCATGACTTGAAAGTTTGGCCTAATGTGGAAGCAGACGGATCAGAACCCACAAAAACTCCTGGCAGAACAAGCAGTACTCTCTCAGAGGATCAGATGAGTCGCCTTGCCAAGGTAAAAAAGAAATTATTGAAACAGGTGAAAAGCTTTGAATGATAATTTGTTGTATAAATTGACATTATGAATTCTGTGAGATTACTTTTTAATTTAAATTCAATCTTTTAATAATAGTTTTATTGAAATATAATTCATGTACCATAAAGTTCACACTTGGAAAGTGTACTGTTCAGTAATTTTTTTTTTTTTAGTGAATTCACAGAGTTGTGCGATCATTACCACTCTACCTTTAGACCATTTTTATCAAAAGTGTAACTGTGTACCCATTGGCAGTCATTCTCTGTTCCCTCCTCTCTCTAGCCCCTAGCAACTACTAATCTACTTTGTATCTCTGTGGATTTTCCAGTATAGGATATTTCATGTAAAGAAAATCATATAATATATTGCTCTTTGTGTCTGAAATGCCAACGGATTTGAAAACATAGAGCTTTTGGTGATAATTTCAGGTTGATCCCCTCCCTTTTTTGGTCGCATAATCTGAAAGATGCATGTGTTATTACATGCTGGAGATTCTTACATTGTTTGAAATGAAAATTCCTTACACTGGCTAGTTTAAATTGCCCTCACTCCACGACACTCCTTTTCTTCTAAACTGATTTATTACCTCTTTCTGTCAGAATTGTGTTAATGAAGTGTTTTCATTTAGCTTTTGTATTTCTAAGTTAAATTCTTTTTTTAAATCACAACAGTTTAACTTATTTTGAGAATATCTGTTCAGAAAGTACCGTGTTGTATAGTAGCTTCCCAGCAGCTGTCTGTTTTACACATGATGGTGTGTTATGTCAGCGCTGCTTTCTCAGTTCGTCCCACTCTTTCCCTGGCTGTATGTGCTCGTTCATTCTCTACATCATGTCTCTATTGCTGCAAACAGCACAGGGAACTATTTTCAGTATGTTGTAATAACCTGTAATGGAAAATAATTGGGAAAAGTGATCAGTATCTTGTTATAACCTGTGTTGGACAACAATTGAAAAAAGTGTACACAAACACGTTTGTTCAAATCACTTTGCTATACATGTGAAACATAGTATTGTAAATCAACTATACTTGGGAAAAAAAGACTATATGGTAAAAAAAAAAGTACTATGTTAGATACTGTTTAAATATCCTTTTACAATTCTTTAGTTAAGAGATGAGACTTTAATTTTTATATGTAGTTTTCCTTTTTGATCTTATTAGTTATGGATGACTCTATAATGTCTGGAGAAAGTTTTGGTGCCAAGCATTTTACAACTTGTTGCCTCAACCTACATGTGGAAGAAATCCTAATTATAAAGAATAAGCACTTGGAGTGTCTAAGCTTTGTACTTCAATATAACTTTTTTTCGAGTTTATTCTGTCTTTTTATGTGTCTTTTTTATGGAAAAATTATATCAGAGCTTCTTATTAAGCATTTTGACCAAATTGCTATTGTCCCCCGTAAGTACTATCCCCCTCCATAATTAAATAAATAAAACTTAGCTTTCAGTTCAGCTATTCATTGTGAGATTTTGTTGACATTCTTACATGTAATATAGGAAACCTCTTACACTTTTCATGTGTTTACTTTTTCATTAGGAATTTATCTTAGTGATGCTCTTTTATAGAAGCTACTCTCTGACTTTTATAAACTTTGAATAATAGAAATTGTATCAGAATCAGCTCATTTATAAGCTATAAGCTTATATCTCAAATGTAGGAAAACCTCTTAAATTGTCTTTAAGAATAGCATTTATTATGAGAGTGAATATTATGGTTCATGTAATAATAAAATTCTGAATTTGAGGAGAAATGGCTGGGCCAAGAAATATAAAGCTATGTAGTTGCACAGTGCATCCACTTTGTTTCTTTTATATTAAAAAAAATACTATAGGTTCCTATTCATATGTTCCTAATTTTTTCCCAACTACTTTTTAAATTATGACTTTAATTGAATGATTATAGTAGAAATTTTGCTTTTCACGATTTAATGATTGCAATGAAAATTTTACTTTCAGTAGTCAATTTAAGGTAACCAGCCTTACAAATAAATATCAACAAGTATCATAAATACAAATAAGTATAACATAACATGTAAAATTTTAAAATTTCTGTCAGAACTTGTATTATAGTTGATATCTTTGATTCATATAAGAGTAGGATCATATAAACTCTTAAAACATCCTTACAGCAAAAACAAACATAAAACCACTTTATGCTTTTATCATATATATTATTATTGTTGTTGCTGCTGTGTTGCTGTTGTTCAGTCGCTAGGTTGTGTCTGACTCTTTGCCATCACATAGATAGCAGCATTCCAGGCTCTTCTGTTCTCCACTATCTCCTGGTTCAGTTCAGTCACTCAGTTGTGTCCAACTCTGCGATCCCATGGACTGCAGCATGCCAGGCTGCACCAACTCCTAGAGCTTACTCAAACTCATGTCCATCGAGTTAGTGTTGTCATTCAGCTGTCTCATTCTCTGTCATCCGCTTCTCCTCCTGCCTTCAATTTTTCCCAGCATCAGGGTCTTCTCCAATGAGTCAGTTCTTTGCCAAAGTATTGGAGTTTCAGCTTCCGCATCAGTCCTTCTAATGAATATTCAGGACTGATTTCCTTTAGGATAGACTGGTCAGATCTCCTTGCTGTCCAAGGGACTCTCAAGAGTCTTCTCCAGCACCACAGTTCAAAAGCATCAATTCTTTGGTGCTCAGCTTTTTTATAGTCCAACTCTTTACATCCATACATGACTACTAGAAAAACCACAACTTTGACTAGATGGACCTTTGTTGGCAAAGTAACGTCTCTGCTTTTTAATATGCTATCTAGGTTGGTCATAACTTTTCTTCCAAGGAGCAAGTGTCTTTTAATTTCATGGCTGCAATCACCATCTGCAGTGATTTTGGAGCCCCGCAAAATAAAGTCTGTCACTGTTTCCACGGTTTCCCCGTGTATTTGCCGTGAAGTGATGGGACCAGATGCCATGATCTTAATTTTCTGAATGTTTGCTTTTAAGCCACTTTTTCGTTCTCCTCTTTCACTTTCATCACGAAACTCTTTAGTTCTTATTCACTTTTGCCATAAGGGTGGTGTTATCTGCATATCTGAGGTTATTGATATTTCTCCTGGCAATCTTGATTCCAGCTTGTGCTTCATCCAGCCTGGCATTTTGCATGATGTACTTTACATATAAGTTAAATAAGCAGGTTGACAATATACAGCCTTGACGTACTCCTTTCCTGATTTGGAGTTTACTCAAAGTCATGTCCATTGAGTCAGTGATGCTATCTAAGCATCTCATCCTCTCCCGCCCCCTTTTCCTTTTGCCTTCAATCTTTCCTAGCATCAGGGTCTTTTCCAGTGAATCAACTCTTCACCTCAGTTGGTCAGAGTATTGGAGCTTCAGCTTCAGCATCAGTCTTTCCAAAGAATATTTAGGGTTAATTTCCTTCAGAATGACAGGTTTGATGATCTCTTTGCAGTCCAGGAAGCTTTCAGGAGTCTTTTCTAGCACCACAGTTTGAAAGCATTAATTCTTTGGTGCTTAGCCTTCTTTATGGTCCAACTCTCACATCTGTACATGACACTGGAAAAAACATTGCTTTGACTATATGCACCTTTGTCTTTGACAAAGTGATATCTCTGCTTTTTAATATACTATCTAGGTTTGTCATAGTTTTCTTTCCTTTCAGTTTCTTGGGTGCAGTCTCTGTCTGCAGTGATTTTGGAGCCCAGGAAAGTAAAATCTGTCACTGCTTCCACTTTTTCGTTTTTTATTTGCTATAAAGTGATGAAACTGGAAATCATGATCCTAGTTTTTTGAATGTTGAGTTTTAAGCCAGGTTTTTCATTCTCCTCTTTAATCCTCATCAAAAGGCTCTTAGTTCTTCTTCCCTTTCTGCCCTTAGAGTGATATCATCTGAATTTCTGAAGTTGTTGATATTTCTCCTGGCAATCTTCACTCCAGCTTGTGATTCATCTAGTCCCACATTTCACATGATGTACTCTGCATATAAGTTATATAAGCAAGGTGACAGTATACAGCCTTGTTGTACTTCTCTCCCAGTTTTGAAGCAGTCTGTTGTTCCATGTCCAGTTCTAACTGTTGCTTCTTGACCCACATACGGGTTTCTCAGGAGATAGGTAAGGTGGTCTGATATGCCCAACTATTTAAGAGTTTTCCATAGTTGTGATCCACACGGTGAAAGGCTTTAGCGTAGTCAGTGAAGCAGAAATAGATGTTTTTCTGGAATTCGCTTGCTTTCTCATGATCCAACAAATGTTGACATTTTTCTCTCTAGATCCTCTGCCTTTCCTAAATCCAGCATGTTCATCTGGAAGTTCTTGGTTCATGTACTGCTGAAGCCAAGCCTGAAGTATTTTGAGCATAACCTTGTTAGCAAGTGAAATGAATGCAGTTGTATGGTAGTTTGAACATTCTTTGGCATTGCCCTTCTCTGGGAGTGAATGAAAATTGACTGACAGTCCCGTGGGCACAGCTGAGTTTTGTATGACATATTGTATGACAAATTTGCTGACGTATTGTATGGAGCACTTTCACGGCAGCATCTTTTAGGATTTTAGATAGCTCAGCTAGGTACCCGTCGCTTCCACTGGCTTTATTTGTAATAATAACTTTCTAAGGCCTGCTTGACCTCACACTCTAGGATGTCTGGGTCTAGGTGAGTGACCACACCATCGTGGTTATCTGGGTCATTAAGACTCTTTCTGTATAGTTCTTCTGTGTATTCTTGGGACCTTTTCTTAATCCCTTCTGCTTCTGTTAGGTTGTTACTGTATCTGTCCTTTATTGTGCCCATCCTTGCATGAAATGTTCCCTTGATATCTCCCAGTTTTCTTGAAGAGGTGGCTAGTCTTTGCCATTCTACTGTTTTCCTCTGTTTGTTCACATTGTTCATGTAAGAAGGCCTTTTTATTTTTCCTTGCTATTCTCTGGAACTCTGCATTCATTTGAATATATCTTTCCCTTTCTCCCTTTCCTTTTGCTTCTCTTCTTTCCTCAACTATTTCTAAAGCCTTC